GACTTGTACATTATTCAAAAAATTATAAAAAAAAACATTTTAATGGAAAATGGATAATTGTCTTTGTATTACATTAAATTTATAACTTAAGCATTATAGTGGCTGTACGGCAGGTAGTAGGTACATACGAGTAGGTGTAAAATTTTCACCTTGCCCCATAAAGCCTCTACGACTTTAGGAAAACATTAATTTAAGATAAATATCGGACACGAGGGTAAATTAAAGCTGAAACATAAATGTATTCTAAATAGGACTAACTCATAAGTAATTTCAAGAGTGATTCATGAAATTCATGATTTTGCTGGTTTGAGGGGGATTTCACAAATGTAGGCACTTAATGCCTGTAAAGGATTTTTTTAAACAGCGTTTACACTGTATTCTAAACAAACGCAACAACCGGTCTCTACCAGGTAGGGCAATAAACAAACCACATTTCTATGTTAACAGATAATGTCTGCTCGCCTCATTCAACTTTGAAACTCGCCATTACTAAACATCAAATATATTTACTTTAAAACGTAAACTTACCAAGTTTAAGAAATAAGATTAGATACAAATTTGGATGATTTAAACTTAAAATGTTAGAAAGCATAATGGAATGGAGTCATCTTGTTTCGCAGAAAAAGAACAATTTATTTTACATACATCACTTTCTTTTCCTATGCATAATTATTATGTTGATCAAATAATCTTGGAGAACTCAGAAATTCTGTTTCTCTTCAACTTTTACAAAATCTCGTCTAAGCGACTGATTCATATTTTCAAGGCGAGGTGAATTTTTAATGTTTTCTATCATCGAGTTAAATAATAGATCAATGTTTTCTCCTGTGTTTGTGAATGATTTGCTTCTTTTGTAGCTTGTGACGAGCTAAGGAATCGTTATTTTAATAAAAACAATAGAGAAAATCTATTTTTTTATACAAGTAGTCCTTACCAAAGTGTTTAAAAAAGTTAATGTATAATATAAAGTGTTATCATAAGCGTCGTGAAGTGTGATTGTGTTTGAATTAACGTTTTGTAAGTCAGTTGATTTGCATTAGCGTTTTAAACTCGCAATTGAATTCAAAATGAGTGTTTAAATTTCTAATTTATTCAACAGTTCAAATGACATTTTAATAAGAAACATAATGTTATTTAGTTATGCTTATGCACCAGCTTCGTAAATTTTTTGTTCGAACGGAAAGACAACAAGTATAATTATATTATCTTTTGGAAAATCATAACAATTTAGTACACACTACACAACACACTACTAATTACTAAAAGCGAAGTTCAGATAGATTCTCAGTGACATTATAGATTTGTAGAATGTGCATTTATGTTTAATTAATATATATATTTTTTAATATGCAATAATGAATATCATTAACATTTTAGCTTTCGATTTCGAAAACGCCTAGAAAAGCGAATTAAAGACGTTCAAAAACGGAAAGGTTCTCAGTGCGTCGGTATCTTTTTTGTATCACTTTTTATTGCTCGATAACTCAAAGATCACTGGATCGATTTGAGAAAGTGTTTCCTAATCAAAAGGGTTTATTTCTAGTTGGTTTCATTGTTATTAAGTCAGGATCTTACAGTGAAATCCTGGAGAAATCGTTGGGAACTCTTTAAATATTATGCCTAAGTACACCGATGGAGATTTAGATTCTTTTGTAGTAACTTGTTTGTTTACTCCCGGAAATTACCGTTTGGTGAAAACAAAGTGATGATGAAGGCAGGAAATTTGCATACGGCGAAGCCTATAGTAACTTAGATAAATCTTACAAAACGACGATTTTGAATACTTAAAATCGACTTCAAGAGGTTTTTTCGAAATCGATCTTCGAGGTGCTGATCCATAGAAGGCAGATGGTTAAATGGTGTATTGTATATACTTATGAAACTTACAGCACAATAATGTCAATATTGATGCTTTAAGCTTCAATACTACTGTTATACTGTTTTTTTTAATAATAGATATAATTAGTGGTAAAGTGTTTCGAACAATACAGGCGATCTCCATTTTGCAATGCGTTTGTAAAAGATTGGATGACACAGCTTGAGTTCAGTATACGTCTATCACCAATTAGTGGTCGTGAGTAGTCGAACTGAATATTTGATACCAAAGAAAACAAACCACAATTTACTTCGTGACTTACAGATTATCTGCGGTTTATTCGATCTTTTGCTTTCGTAGCCCAGTAATATCATGTTTTCTATTTCATATAATCGAAGCGATTATAATCGAATTTCATATAAAGAATTTTAAGCTGTAAAAACAATAAAGGAAACAATTATTACAGCTAAAAACTTGATTGTACACTTTTGTAAAACCTTGATTTTATAGCTACCTGCAATGGAAGTAATTAGATATTTCGAAATAATGTAAACTTGTAGATGATTACGGTATCATTGGGATGTAATATTATGTACATTCGAAGGTTGTCTGATGTACTTATTACAACCAAGTAGTTACGTTGCCAACCTTGTAAAAATTAAATAGCTTTCAATATATTTGCTACGGACGACAAAAGGCATAATGGTGACGAGATATTGACACACAAGGCTCCTGAAAACTAATTTCTTTAGACTCTCCATTACACTAGATTAATTTAACTGCTTTCTGCATTGCTATGGGGCCGGACAAGTTAACAACTCCGGGTTAAAATGAGTTTGAAGTAAGTTGTAAACTATCTATTTAATAATTAATAGGATAGAAAAAAAGTTTAATCTAAAAGCTAGTCAAACGTTATTTTAAGTTGTACTTACGAGATTGTTTAACAGAAGTAAAAAGAAATCGACACGAAGACCAGTTTTTTAAAAGTCATATATTACAATTTATTCGTCTCGAGCTTGCTACTTATTTATCTAAATTTAACAGGCTGAAAGAGTGTCGATAGCTCATATATCATTCAATCCACGTTTTGAAATGTCTTAAATTCTAAAGTGCGGCGAGTCTAAATAATTTTCTCCAAGTTTATTTCCTTCGGTGTGGATTTTAACAATGAGTTGATTTAATGCAAGCATATTGATCACTTTATTGGTATTTTTTTATAGAACACGGATAAATTGACACATCAGAAAATAAATAAAGATATGAAGGTTTCACATTTCGCGTACAATTTTAAGCATCAAAATGCGAATTTATAAAGTTTGATGTCTACGGTTTCAAAGCAATTAATATTTATATCGAATAATTTAGAATTTTAGGCAATAATTACTCTTATCTAACTTGAAATGTTAATTTTATTTAGGTGTTACTATTTTACGGGGATTCTCTTTATTGAACATGCATTAGGATTTATTTCTGCTAACACTCTATTTGAAACTTTTAATATTATGAAAACCTTCCTTTACCTTCCAAATTTTAAGATTCTTATTAAGTAAAGTAAACATTTTGTTACTTACGACGTTTTAATCGGTATTTAATCGTGGTAATATTTTTAAGGTCCAATATTTATTACACCCCATGACAAGAAAAGTAGTGTAGAATTTCCGAGTTCAATATCTAATTTGCAAGTTTTACATGTTAACTGTAAGTACATATATAATTATATGGTGGTTTCAAGAAAAATATACTAAAAGATTGATTTTTGTGTTGTTCAGTTTTTTCATTGTGCTTTGTTGAAATTGGCCCTGGCTTCCTTCTATTAGGTACTATTTAAAAATATACTGCAGGGGATCGATACATTAAAATTATTTAGTTAATACTGATTTTTTTTTCTGGTATAGACTAGAATCGCGAGCGTACGCCGAAATTGTCATGGTAAGACCAATTAGATTATCACTGCCATGTCATACAGCCACTAAAATAGTTTTGATGCACTATTTCTGTTCTAGTTCTGTTCTGTTTAACTTTTTAATTAATAACTGGGTATTATACTCGTTTGTACATCAAAACGTGATACAAGTTTAATAACAAAGGAGAACTACCCTTTGATACAGGTACAAACTTGACTGTCCAAAGCTTTCAAACCCACCCCTATAACACGTAGACGAACAAAAAATGTAAGTCATTGCAAGCAGGTAGAAAACGCTGCAACAAGTTGGCTCAAATCGCAAAAAAAGAAACAACGTGACCTCGGCTCGAAAAAAAAAGAACCCAGAACCTGTCCGTACAAAAAAGCAAACGTACATAACAAGCAAATTAACCGTGAGATGTTCCAGTTTTACAAATTACGCGCTTTCAGAAAATATTTACTACATACATATATACTGGTTTGAAAATTGGTGTTTTCCTGGTTATATTTTGATGACGAAAACCCTAACTAATATATAAAAAATTAAAATGTGGTTCGTAAGTCTTGTTATCGGTCGTGGTTTCTTTATCTCCACGCCTGGGTGCACAGGAGTACCTCACGGAATAGTACAGTTACCTCCACATTTCTTCGTGCCATTAATACGTGCATATTTATGCGTAACGTGTCTACTCTAACGGTGTCTTGGCAAGGATTCGAAAGAATACGTGTTACGACGATTTCAATCGAGTCCATTCGATGTCGTCTGTAGGCAATCCTGTCTTAGTAATTGAAGGATTTCTCGTAAGTCCAAAGATTTATTGATGTACACGATTGTATCGCTCGATGCCAAACAATGACAATCGACAATGAGAAACTACTGAGATGTTTATCAATTGTTTGTTTTATAGTTGAAGGTTTCCAACTGTTCTTCAAGTTTTTGTTCCGTAGTTTCCATATTCGCTTCGACTTCTATGGTCTAGGTAAAAAGATGGGTAATCTATTTGAATCAGCAGGATTCTTTCCACCTTAATGGTAAAGCTGTGAGTTTATAATTGTTAAAATAATATTATAGTAATAAAATAAACCAAAATAATAGTGTATGACCTCAATATACGAACACTATGTTTAACTATAGTCAATTTAAGAAAAACAATTATTAAAACAACATGAAAACTGGAAAACAATTTCTAACACAATTTAAAATAAGTAGGTATATTAGGTAACTAAATAAACAAATGTTTTGAAACTTTGTAAAAAAAGTGACAAAAAATATTTTCTTACCTGTATGTTAGAACGTTTGACTTCAATATAAAGCCAGTTATCCGTTGAAAATGCTATAGCCATTAGAGCAGCAGCAACGATTGCTGTAATGGTCGCTATAGACAAAGTTACCGCTGAGCAAGGCATTTTTACAACCTTCGAAAGACAGCAATAGATAGAAGAAGGTAAAAGGAATAATATCACAATCACAACACTTTATTTCATAAGAGTTCACCTATATAGCATTTTCGTAAACACTTAATGCAACGGAAAACACGACAGCACACACAATTTAATAAAAACTCATAAATGCGGTCATCGCCTGCAGTCTGCCGAGTTCGCGCGCGAGACTTCTTTGCCTACTTCACTTTGCCTTGCCGCTCTCTTGCGGATGTGAAACTTTCGAAAGCGAACCAACTCCTCCAAGTGGCGGGAATGTAAATTAAATTCTGGTTTTGTGGTGCCAGTAAGAATATTAAATGCCAAAATATTTTTTTTAATATAGCAACATCGTCGAAAAAGATGTCATCGATTAAGACTAGTCACTTTTAACTAACTTTTAAAGATCTATTCTCGTAATAAAAGTTCAGTTAAAATTCAGTTCCAATCAACTCCGTTCTCGCAACTATTGTAAAAGATATTTTTGTTGTAAAATAGTAAAGTATCAATGAGACTAGCAGATTTCCGATTCAAATTTCGGGTACAATACGATAAAATCACATTACAGTCAACGTTGGATGTTTAATATTTTACAACGAAAATACCTTTAATAAAATAATAGTTGTGAGATCGAGAGTAGTTCGGAAGTGGATTGTGACTGAACTTTTATTATGAGAATGGGCCCTTCTAGCACGCATATTCACGCATAAACTCAGTCTATACAATATTATGTATCTCTCCTAAATAAGCCCCTCGTATTTTTTTTAAAGGATATTAAATTTAAAAACTTGATTTGTATTACTAAAAAATAACATAGATAACACAAAACGTAGATAATATGTTCAATATTTTTACTAGAAATAAATTTGAATTTATATTAGCGAATTCTTCTTAAAAAATCTATTTTTAAAGGAATTAACATGATTATTTATTGAAAGGCCAAAAAATGAAATTAGTTAATGAAGAATAGTTTTGTAACTTTAGATGATTAATTTTTATTTCTAACTCTTTTTTATTTATCTTTATTTAGAGAGCCAGAATTCTGACTTTGTCGCTCCATCATAGACATTTTTTGTTTTAAACTAAACTTAAAAATTCAAAATACAAATTATAAATAGGCTTAGCTGTATCTATCGAATGACTGGCCAGGATGCTGTTACATCTTTTTAATTGCTAACTTAATTCTTAAAAAGTACTATTTCAAAGTAGTTAGTGACTATGCAATAAATGGTGAATAAGACAATGACGATAACTATTACTTCTTCTTTTTTTTAGCCCAAGAATAATTTAAGTTTAGTATCATCAGTACCTTTTATGATCATAAACTACAAGGGCATCATACACTCACATAGATAAGCAAAGATCCAATCCAAGAACACAAAAAATAAGCATCTATTTTATCCAGTATTCAATTTAAATTTCAACAAAATCTACATGGATCTTTTTATATCAATTATATCAATAGGGTCAATCAATTTCTATATTTTAAAAAAAAAATTCACTTTCATGACCGTATCCATCCACATATTTTACAAACGATTATTTTCCACGAAATGGATTCAATTAAATCGATTATTTTGATATTAATAACACGTTTGTGTCTCCTGAGTTGCAGTTCATAGGCGGCGATGGTCGCATTCCATCAGGTGACCCGTCTGCTCGTCTGCCCCTCTAACATTAGAAAAAAACTTTAACTTTTTTTCGATAAGTCAATTCAAATCATCAAGGTTGTACATTTAAGCAATAAGTCGCTGTCTCTCATAACTCTCTTAACTGTCAAATGTCAATCGTGTAATGTCAGATGATTCTAATACACTGGAATAATATTCAATATAGTAATACCTACTGATCATATTGACAAAAACAAGGAACTAATCAAATTTGTTAATTAATCGAAAAACTCACATAAAATGTCTAGAATTCCTGATATATATAAATATGACGAGGTTTTAACATCAATACTTGTAAATGAGAAATCTATCTTGGGTTTTTTGTCCACTATTTTCAACTTTTTAGCTAGAAGGTAAGTTATATATTTCTAGTATTTCCTTCAAAAAACTTTATCATTTACATTTATACCAAAGCTTTCGATAATTATTTAAATTAATATGATTTCAGAACAGATTTTTACCATGTACCAGATGGCCCTTATGAAAACATGGGATTTCCTCCAGGAGTCGCAGAAGAACTAGTTGTGAAAGTTCTTAGGACATGTGACCCCAAGAACTTCAAAGCACCTAATGGGGCTATAAAATCTACAGATGTGAACGATGAAATTATGTGCTCCACAGTTGCACAGGAAGTAGAAGTAATAGCTGATGAAGATCTTGAAGAAAATAACACATTGGAAGCTGAAGACACACCAGTTAATACACACACCAGTAATCCTGTAATAGAACCTTCAGCAACTTTCGGAACCGTAAAACATGATAAGCAGCAAAGTGAACCAGCTGTGAATGCCAGTATTGCACATACGGAATCTAAAATCCAGGAACTATCATTACAGGAATCTCCTAAAACAATTCCAGAAGACTACAAACCTCATATGCTTCCTACACAGAAAAATAGTGAAACCTACAATGGGGCTGATAGGGAACATTATTTATGGTCACAGACTATTATGGAATTAGGTAAATAGTCCTCACTCCTAATATATATTAAACTAAGATAGCAAACAATCAAGGAACTGGGAACAATCAAGTATGTTTGTTTCATACTCTTACACCTGCTTACTGGATGCACTAACCACTCAGAAGATTCACAGTTATTATAATGCATAGATATTTGCTATTGCCTTTTCTATTGCCCTTTCTTACACACTTCTTCTTTCCTTTACAGATGTAACAGTGAAATTACCACCTGATATAAAATCGGCCAAAGATCTGAAAGTGACTTTAAATACAGGAGACATTAGCATATTGCGGAAGAATGGAGATATAATCCTTAAGGACTCATTGCCATACAAAATAAAGGCTATAGATAGTTTCTGGAGTGTCAGTGAGGGGAAACTTATCATGCACTTAGGTAAGAAGCAGAGCAGTACTGCTGGATGTAAACATAAATATGAACTTATCCACTTATTTACAATAATGCTGAAGCGATAGCTATATTTTTATGTAAGATGAAAGCCTATAAATCTTTTCTGTATCCCTAACAACTTCAATTCAATTGTATAGTAGAGAATAAGTTACTATAAGGTACAATGGAACTTTTGCCCACATGGGCTAAAGTTCCTTCAAAATCACTAGAATAAAAAAAAAAGATGTCTCAAAGAAATTTTGTGAAATTTTTTGTTGAATAATAAAAATGTTTCATCATCATCTCAGCTGAAAGACGTCCATTGCTGGACATACATCATCCCACAAAGTTCGCCACAACAATTGCTTCTATGCTGCCCGCATCCAATGGCATCCATCGACCTTCACCGGGTTGTCAGACCACCTTGTTCACTCAATAAATAATATATTTATTTATTATTATTAATTAGTAAAATGTTGCCTATTCACAGAAAAAGTACAAGAAAGATGGTGGAATAAGTTATTGAATAATGAAGAACCCATAGACCTGGATAGAATTGATTGCTCCAGGCCATTAGATGACTTACCAGAAGATCAAGTAGCCAAGGTAATAATAGGATAATTTTACTTATGTGATAGGCTTGTTGGTCTAGAAGTTAGAGACCCTGACTGCAAAGCCAGAGGTTGTGGGTTCGATTCTTACCCAGGGCAAATTGTTGTGTGATGAACACAATCATTTGTTCTGTCTGGGTATAATTTATCTATAATATTTAGTATTTAGAAATATTTTAGTATGTTTACCGTGTGGTTACCATAGTACAGGCTCTGCTTGGTTTAGGATCAGACGGCCGTGTGTGAGATGTGTGAAGTTATTATTATTATTTATTTATATCCTTGTTCTAAAGCATTTTATTAGATTTTACGTTCTCTAACTACAGCTGAATATTATTATTATGTATATATTTGTAGTAAATCAAAGTACACTCTTATTTATCCCACTATCTGTTGCTACTTGATCATGCCCATGGTCTCCAAGCAAGCTTTGCTCATCTTTGGTCATTAAATAATTTGCTTTCTAAGTTTGCATCTAGATACAAATTATATTTATATGATGATTTTTTTAAGGTTCGCGAGTTACAATGGAACCAAGAACGGAAACTGCAGGGATTGCCAACTAGCGATGATATTCGAAACATTAATATTTTGAAGAAGGCTTGGAATGCTCCGGGCTCACCATTTCAGGGACAGAAATTCAATCCAAACATTCTCAACAGTTCTAATACATTGCCATCATTCTCAGGAGATCAATAAGATGTAATTATTTTTATATTGAGTTATAATTTAAAAAAAAACTAGCTGCTGTACCCTGCCATGCTTCATTGTGGTACATTGATGTTGCATTAATGAGAAATTAGAATCAAAACTGATGCGAAAATTAGATAAAAACAATTTCTGAAAAGGATTGTATATCCTGTAAAAATTTGACCTCAATTGGTCCAGAACTTTTTCAGAACGTCTTGAAGAGCACACAAACCGACTTAACATTTTTATATAAATAAAGACTACTTACACTATTGTATTAATGTATTATGAAATACATTTACTAGTAGTATTAATGTATTATGAAATACATTTTATTTACTGAATCGCAAAATGTAGTTTTATGTTTTAGAAGGCTAGTTAAAACCAATCAATGTGTGATGACAAATTTTCCAAAAATGTTCTTTCACTTTTTAATATTTGTAATTTCTTTTTTAACTGACAATAAAAAATTGCATGATTTAAAAACATTAAGTTGTAACCTTAGTAATTCATACAAGAATGTACCAAAGTGAAGATTCAGTTTTGACGTTTATTAAAATGAATATTTTCAATTTGACTTTACAGTCACCACTGAGGGAGAAAGCTAAGGTATTAGTCGATGTTATCGACCGGATCGGATAGGGTACCTATGTTTATGTATAAGCAGGATGCACCGAACAGCAGTCATAGATACCTAATGCAACTCCTCAGTTGGCTGACTTTTGGGTTTGAGACACGTGAGATATGTGTCTGGATGAACAGCCAGTTCAGATCTCAGTATAATGGTCCTTCCAGGAGGGCTGCAACTTTCGCGCCGGCATCAGTTAAAGGGTCTTCACCTTACGCTAAAATTGCAGGGAATTTCTGACCCTTTTCGCGCATCAAAGTTTTAAAGGCAGGAAACTGTGATCTAAAAATTCTAATTATAACAGAGTTAAAATTCTCGTTTTTTATGTTTTGGTTTGTGTAATGATTAATGTAAATTTGCCTTTTAAAACTGCTTTCGACAGCTTATTGCTGGGTCACAAGTCAAGGTCAAGGTGTGTCTATAGTTAAACACACTGGCTTAGGATGAAACTTACCAACTTCATCAGTTGTTCTTGCTAAGTCTCAATATCGCTAATATTTTTTGTATTATAAATAAATTATATTGACATGAGTAGAGCGATAAAACTGTCAAAAATCCTTTGATTTTAATTTGATTTAACTCATCTTTCGGTTTTTAACAAACAGTTACAGAACATAGTCTAAATTTTTATCAAAAATTATTTACACATGGTTCATGGTGTTAAGAGGTTATCGCGAACACAAAACAGTCCGACTACCTGAATGAAATACAATTTACCTATTGTTAAATTAATATATTTATTCAAATACGATGTCATTATGCTAAAATGAATCAGAGAAATAAAAAAAACGCGTTGACAAACTTACCTTTCATATTTGCCAGAGTCATTTCATTATTCAAATGTATCATTTGCGGCCTTATTACCTAAGGCTTAAAATAAAGATTTAGAAATACTGCCGCTGACGAAGGTGTTTGTTAAAATTTTCTAATAATAACCAATTGCGGAGTTTATAATATAATGTAATGCGGATAATTAACCTAATGTATTCAACATAAAAAGAAAATCGAATACATCCATATTATTCGAATATTGTTTTGTAAGTGTCCTAAATATCTAAATGGTGAATTGTGTGTGGCGGATTGCCCCTAAGGCAAAGTAGGCACGTGCATAGGGACTAGGGACGCGCGCGCAGATTTTTTACAAAGAAACAATAATATATGCCTAACATAAAAATAATTCCATAGACATGTTTAAGGTTGACATCTTGCTTTATATTACGTAATTGAAACCTACGAAGATTCACGTGTACACAAATATTCAGTTGCTACAACTTTAGCTGTAAATTAGATTACTCTATAAGTTAAAGTTATGAGTAGCAATAGACTAGGGATTTTGCTTTATTTTTTTTTAAAGAACTCTCGCATTAGTAATGTATATCCCGTGTCGCGGGGGACTTTACAAACATACATGGAACGGACACAAAGAACACCCAAACTCAGAAAAACAATTTCCAGTGTCCCATGTGAGAATCGAACCCATAACGCGCAGCGCAGTAGGAAGCGGCGTGGCGACCGCATAAACCACTACGTCATCAGCGCAGTTAATTTCAGGGTTGTACAGGTAATGGCACTATACAGTGCACCGGTGTGGCCGGCAGCTCTGACCATCTAGAATTAGGGTGCTATTCCACTGACGCGGAGCTGGACGGAGTGGACAGGAGTGGACTAAGACTTGGCCCATCACAGTGCTCAAAGTCTAAACTCCGCATCAGTGGAATCAGTGTAAGTGGAGTGAAGCGGACTTTCAAATAAAATATAAGAACACGCGGCCCCGAGCTGGACAGAACGGAGTCAAACAGGCTGTGGTACCGAGCGGAGTGTAGTCGGACTATGTTTTCTTTTTGTATCCAAATAATGTGTGGCAATCAGTTCTACTTTATCTGCTTCCAAATCTTGATCTTCTAGTAGAGAAAGATGTAATAGCGCTCCTTTCTTTACCGACAACATGACATATGATCTCTCCAAGAGATTGAATTTGACTAATCGGGACACGACTCAATGCAACTTTGGTCTGCTCAGCTCAACTCGACTCTGCTTCAATGGAAACACTCACCACTTTTCATTGCTCCTCTCAAGCTGCACTCCGCGCCCAGTCCTCGTCAGTGAAAACGCACCCTAAGGCATGCCGCTAGCACCCTCAGAGGGTGGTGGCGGAACTGTCCCAAGGGATTTAGAGGCGAAACTCTCGCATGGAATTTACAGGCAGAAAGGAGTGGTGTGTAGTGGGACTGGGTACTACGCGGTGTCTTCTTATATGGTGTCGCCGTCACGTGCTACGCTGACGATACGCTCGTGATGCCGCGGCGCGCGGTATCGCACACCGTGAGGATCCGGCGGCTTGGCCTCGAGGCTTTGTTCTTTCAAGAGCTTCGGAGAGAGCCATACACTCGTATCGTCATCGAGCCCTCGATTAGGTATCTGAGGCTCGCACTGAATCGGGATACTGGGACTCGCGAAGTCGAGGATCCGATATCCCTGCAGTGGAGGGAAAGACTTGGGCAACCAAGCGCCGGTGCTCGGTGGGAACGGTGAGAATTCTCTAGCTCGGTACTATAATTGCGGTCATGATACGAAGCGAGAGCGCGTGGAACTCCGGCACCTCCCTCTGCGAGCAAGTTATGCTCTAGAAGAAGAGGGCGGAGTGGGACCTGAAGAGGCTTAGAGCTTTCTCCCGATCCATCAGGGGCCAGGTACTGCAGGCGTCTTAGGCGCTTAAATTTTCTATGCAGCCGTAAGTATTTGAAATAATAATTCTCAATGAGATGTAGCTATTCGAAATATGTATAATACAAAGAGTTCAAAGCGATCATGGTTATCTGTCGAGAATATAGTTTTGTAGATAATATTAAAATTTAACAACAGAAACAAAACAAGAGTTAATTTTCGAGAAGTTAAGTACCTATTATTGAACAAATTTATCACTATTATGAAATAACATAAAGTAGTATCATCACTATCGTTCAAAATTCTCGAACTTTTTCACACGGCTAAAAACAAGGCCAAACTAATAAAAAAGTGTTAAAAAGATTACTACTATCTAAGTCTCGAATTATTAAAGTAGTAAAAAAATACAACTTGTGGAATATTTTTTATTACATTGAACTTCTATTATTACTCTTTAACGAGTTAAAACTGAGTCAACACTAATTTGCCCACCATTTTCTGTGACTCAATTATTTTATGTGCTTCTCTCAAATTAGCAGCATTTATTGGTGACATTGTTTTAGTTAAGGTGCACTTCAGTTTTCCTTCGTCAAACAATGTGGACACTTTTTTCAGGAGCTCATGCTGTCTGAATTTTCCATCAGTATTATACTTCTGTCTTGTCGCCATCATTTCGGACACCAGAGTCAAACTCTTATCTTTCAGCGGCCTCAAATCTAACGGTTTACTACTATCGACAACCAAACATATTCTTCCTTCTGGTTTAATAGCAGTCATTAATGTATCCCAATAAGGAGCCGGATCATAATTAACTAGAATAAAGTCTACTCCCATTCCATAACCATTATTTTTCAACTGAGATATCAGATCTTTAGTATGGTTGAAGACGAGGTCAGCTCCATTCTCACGAGTAAAAGCCTCTGTTTCTGGTCGAGAAGCCGTACCAATCACTTGAAGTCCTAATAGCTTGCCAAGTTGAGAAGCAACTGCTCCAACTCCTCCAGCGCTGTTTATAATTAACAAACTCTTTCCTTTATCTTTCTCTGATAGCAATAAACGATCGTAAAGTGATTCGAAAGCAGTAAGGGCAGTGAGCGGCATCGCAGCAGCTTGTTCAAAAGTTAAATTCTTCGGTTTTGGCCCTACTAATAATTGATCAACCGCTATGTATTGGGCGTAGGATCCGGGCCTTCTGATATCACCCGTGAAAAACACCTCATCGCCAATATTAAATAAGCTTGCGCTCTCACCTTTGCCCACTACGACTCCAGCGCCGTCCCAGCCTAAAATCCTAGGTATAGTTTCTATTGTTGGCTTCGGCGCCCGCTGCTTTGTGTCGATAGGATTCACAGATGTAGCCTTAACCTCTACGAGCACATCAGTTTTCCCACATGTTGGTAATTTCACTTCTAAATCAACAAGACTGTTGACATCTGATATCGGCAAATATTTATAGAGGCCAACGGCTCGCATAGTTTTTGGTAAACTAGACATTGTTAAGTTTGCAGACGCGTGTGCACCGAGTACAGCAAATAATAAAACTAAACCGTAAGTCATTGATTATTACCTATAACACAAGAAGATTGTGGTTGATAAATTTCTTATCTATAAACTACGTTTACACGCCGTTGCTCCTATTAAAGTGCTCACTGCTGTCGGTCTGTCAACCATTTTCCACACAGTTAACATTTTAACAAATACCACTGAATATAACCACAAGTGACATACAACTTCAGACCACTCATCGGTCAATATGATTAAAATTGATGTAGTGACTTAGGTACATACATTTAACTTGATTTAACTACAACTCTCAAGATTCAACCACTTATTTATTAGAATGCTAAAAATGTATTATGTTATCTCTATTTCTTAGTCACCATCATGATTTTTCTGCATTAAAATTTTATGTAAATTAATCTAACCACCAAATATCTACGAAAAAAATATCTTTAAAGAAGAATTGAAAATATAAAACAACTATATGACAACATCCAAGTCTATGATTTTGTATTTGTACTACTTTTTAAATATTACAGATAAGCAACAATTTAGTTATTCCTAAAATAAAGGAAATGTAAATAGTAGTATCACATAGCCAAAACTACTAGGTATTTATTTTGGCCGTATGGCGTATACAATAAAGCCTAACAAGTCAAGTAAACAACGTAAACGTTTCGCTACACACAGAACAATATTGTTTTTACTAGGTACCAAAAGAATAGGTAGGTACTGTCACTATGATTTGAAGCGAATATTATTAAAACTGAACTCATTTAAATTAAATTATATGTATGTATTTTTACAGACAACTTTTAATACTCTTTGTTTTTATAAATGTGTTTAACGTGAATAAATTCAAACGAAAACAGAATCGTTTGCTACTTTTCCTCTCATCTTTATTTGCTCCAGTCTTGTTGTGGTATGTATTTCTGGTAGTTTTGATGCATCGTTTGCTGCAGTGCCGTCACAGTTATATTTTTTTCCAACAATCTTCAAAACCCATTTGTTAAAATTGAACTTTTGTTAATATATTAATGTAGTGATTCCTATCCGTGGTCAATGTCCTGCATTTACAGAGAGTTAATTCAATAAATCGTGGATGAGCAAAAACAAACACTAAACTCTCATCCATCAACTAAGCGGATACATATTCAATACTTACTCTCACTATACAGTTCGATGTTCAGAGCCTATAGAGGCTGGATACCAATCTCCCACACAGATTATTATATTAATGATTTAAAAAGATCTTATTCAATATTTATTGTTACGTTTCTAGGGTTCCGTAGCCAAAATAGCAAAAACGGAACCCTGTCAGTTTCACAGACTATTAGTGCTAGAAACCTGTACCTAATTTCGCAGGAACAGACATACTATTCACGCCGACAAATGGTAAAGTAAAATCTTAAAAAATATTTTTTAGGGTCCTACCTTAAGTACTTTTATATAGGAGTGTTATTTTTTAGAGATGCTACGAATATTCGGTATTCGACCGAATTTGTCGAACTATTTGGCCGAACACCGAACAGTACATCACGAAAAAAATAATGCATAATATTGCTTACAAAGATTTTTGTTTTTTCCCAATAACTTAACTTATTAATACTTAAAACAATTTCAGCATTTGTTGATAGCAAACGATCGCGTTTTCCCCATAAATTATACTTGCTTCGGAATATATTTTTTTTATATACTGCTTCCGGGGTGATAAATAAATCTTAGTAAATTCTGTTAGGTTAGGATGTTGTTTTGCGTTTGCTGATCATTTTACTGATTGAGGTTTAAACCCGCGAAACGTGCCAAGTTTTGCCAAATATTTGTATTCGGTATTCGGCCAAATCACTATTCGTGGCATCTCTATTATTTTTTAAATTCATCCATCCTATGATGTGGGGTGTCATTGAAAGGGTCTTAAAGATATTAAAGGTTTGTGAAGACAATATTTTGATTATGAATGTATCCGTTTGTGAGATATTAAGCCTTAAAATGTTGATTATTGGAGTATTTGAAACGGCAGTATTTGGAGATCTGAAAAAATGCACGGTAGTGGCACATATAACAAATTTAAAAAAAAATAATATAATAATATATTCTACCACATACACACAACGCCATCTAGTCCCAAACTAAGCAGAGCTTGTACTATGGGTACTAGACAACTGATATAAATACATATATATACTTTTTTTTTGTAAAATACATACATATTATACATGGAAACACCCAGACCAAATCAAACATCAAATGTTCATGCACACAAATGTTTGACCTGAGCGGGAATCGAACCCGCGACCTTTGGAATAGCAGTCCGTTACACAAACCACTACACCATTCAGTCGTCAAAGAAAAAAAGAAAGCTAAATTACACTTTAGAAGGATTACGGTTTGATATTAGTTTACGAGTAATAGTCGACCACCTAATTCGACGTTACAGGCCGCGAAGCTGGATTTTATAAATCCTTTTTTTCTGTTACAGTCGTCCTATGTGGGGCCGTTTTTAGACATCATGAGCCGCCGACTCCGTTAAACACTCAGCAATACGAGGGGTTATGGTTTCGGTATGACTTTCATTGTCTCTGATCACGCTATAATCTGCTTGTGGCTATGACTATTAACATTAAGTAGGATATCTAATATCTTGAGCTTGCTCTTAACAACATATTTAACTACCCTTTTATTTATATTCCTCAAAACGCGATTATCATTTTTTTTAAATAGACTATCCCGCGCTAGCAGTGGCGGGTTAGCCACGTAGCTAGGCAAATGCGGGACCCGTAGCAAATTTTACGGGCCCGGCGCACCAACGCTTTCCGACCGTAAAAAAGTAGCTTCTTTTTCGATCGAAGTATGTAAATATTTTTCAAATCCTAATAGCCTTAATTCTTGTCACGAAAGAGTTGTATCTAAATGTCCAACTATAATTTTAACTTTTAGTACATTTCTAAAAGTACCTCTTCGGGGCCACCCAATTACCGTCTGAGGGCGCCAGAAATGCGCCCTATTCTGGGCGGTCAGAGCTGCAGTCCACACCGGTGCACCGTACAGTACAACAGATTACGCCCAGCCCGTATGGAAAGGGGGGGAGGAAGTCTCCTCGAAGGGCCCGGTCGTATCCTATGTACCACAGGAGGGCCCCAGGGGCAGAGCCCTGTGGAACAGTTGTTGTTTTTTAAAGTTTTTTTGTGTCCGGGGTTTTTTTAAATTATAACAGAATGGATATCAGGCAGAGAAACACCAAAAAAATGCTTGTACATTTATTTCTAAAGAGATATGACTCCTATTCTCTATACAATAGGTTTACCGTATCAACATTTACACAATATAATACAAGCAGATCGTTTATATCACAGAGAACGCGTAACAATTACAATATGCGAAAATAAAACATTTGCAATAGTTTGTAGCCTCATTCGTAATAAATATCTATCTATAATAATACTTAAAAATGGATGTAACAATAGTGTAAAACGAATAATTTACGCATAGATAGTTAATTTGTCTAAAGGGAGTGTCGCACCACAAAACCACAAAAAAAAAACGGCGTGAGGGGTCTATGGCCTAGGCGTTGGACAAAATCACAGTGAACTGTAAAAGACCGGTGATTAATCATTCGATTTTTTCGATTCGGTCAGGGTTACTCACGCGTTGTTGCCAATAGGCTGTTTTTAGACGATGCATAAATACCCTATTTCGCCTATTTAACAGTAAATCTAGTAATTATTACATGATATATAGATTCCCTACATAATAAAAAAAATTACTAGATTTAGTGTTGAATAGCGTCTAACCTACCTACCTACCTAGCAACCCTAACCACGTACGCAAAAATCGAATGATAGATCACAGTTCACTGTGATTTTGTCCCATGTCCACTATGGACCTCCGGTTGGAACGAAGAACGAAGTTCCGCAAGAAGTGTCCGAAAAAAGTCTTGTTACACATTTTTTGGTCTTGCTCCTATCCGCTCAGAGTATGTAACGCGCGATAAGAAACTTCGTTCCAAAAATTTAGTTGTTTTAGTCAGTGGATCTGCATGACAGCCACAGAACGCTCTCCTACTCCTGGGTGACAGCTACGTGTTACATTCACAAAACTTTTGTAAAACATCATTGTTTTTTTTTCTAGTGTGTGTGCATAATGGCCAATAGTTGGTTATTATTTTATTTTCACAGCTTCGACAGTCTATCTATTCATATCAATGATCTAAGCCTTTAGGCTGACTTTTTAATAACTATAAAAACCAACTGTCATTATCAAAACATCAATTGTTTTGTTTTGAATTTTTCATACTTTTCATGATATTATTTACCATACCTTTTAAAAATTTAAACTAGACATTAATAACATAGGTAATGTAATGCGACGTTTGACTACTAGGGATCGCTTTAAAATTTACATAAGAAAATAACTGACCATACGCAATAACGTAAGTATATGGGTATACATATAGTGTCTTTACATTAGGTACATGACATAAATTCATTTCATCCAGTGCATCTTCAAATTACTTTTGAACAGATTTACTCTTTACGCCTTTACGTTTAGTCTATCTCTTAACATATATTAGGTTTTAAAATCAATTTCATAGTAAAATTTATTACACGGCATTAACAGCATTACAGTATACAATAGTAAGTATTTTCTTCAGGGTATGAAATCAGACCTAGGTAGGTACTTACGTTACAAACAATAGGTATAACCTCTACTGTACCACCGTTTAACCTGAAATATACAGCTATACAAAAAAAAATCCTTATAAAATAGATAGATAAACAACAAATTATTGTTAATACAATCAACTGATTTACGTTTATATTGCACACATATTAAACAACTATAAGTTATGTTAATACTGCCTAAACAGTTGATGTCAAAAGTGATTTGCTTATCCGACTTCACGTTGTGGCTGGCGGCATATAAATGCATTGACTACTTAGTATTAATTATATGTAGTTTTATGCCATTCAGAACAAATGACCTTTTTTTAGGTAACATTAAATAAACTTAAAAAAAATCATCAACTTTATTGATTTTGAAAACTCTGAGGTACATTACGTTGCGTTTTAAATCAAGGACCTGTTCCGTCTATACATTTGCTGTGTCGTTGCAGACCACTACGAACTCTTTACATGGATAAATCTACATTATAAAACCGAGATTAAGCTGTTTTAGTATTTGTTAACAAAAAATCATTAATTTCATTATCAATTTCTTGTCATAAAACAAAAAAATGTCCGAATAAAATAATTTATTAGTTTTATTCAGTATGGCCCGTGTTTTATCCTATTCGTTTAATACTCATACTATAGAATTTAATAATAAATACAGTCGCAACTTTATACATTTTCTATTTTTTCAAAAAATGATTTTATTCTTTGTTTGATGTGAAATTTATTCTAAACGTTTATAAAGTAAAAGTTATTTTCACAACAAGAATACATAGTTTCGGAACAGGTACAATATTCAATAACAATTTAGATAACTAGAGATTTAAACCTTTCGAGCTGATAAGTATTAGAACATTTTTTATTACCTGTTGATATGTCCTCGGCATACCATCAAAACTATTCTCGTTATACCATCAAAAATCTTTCCCTTTGTATTAATACTGATAATTTGTACTAATTACACTGATTTGTACAATTCATTTCACCTTTTTCGTACGTATATCGTTGATTCGGACTTTATATCGCGCCCCCGCGAACCAAGTATTGGAGGCGTAGGTATTTCGTGTTTTTTTTAACGAATTCATTTTATATTTATCTCACTTAGGTTTTAACATATAAAAATGTTATTTAAATATAATAATTTAATATAAAATAAGTCAAAAGTAGATTTAAATTAAAAATAACTTTTCTATTATACTGATCGGTAACATATATCTGTGAATGAATTAGCATGATTTGTACAAAACGCGGACATGAAATATGGGGTAACATTTTCATATTGTTTAAGTAAACACTAAAACATGGCAAATAAAATAAAAACGTGATAGTTTTATCATCTTACAGTTAGCCTCGCAACTTTCTATCAATAGTCGTGATATTTTACTTAGAACTTGCCTCATTTGTCTAAGTAAGCTAAAATACTAACACTTTTATATTGGTAAAAACTTTTCGTACACTTATTTTCTACAAACTATAACGGATATGATAAATAAAATGTTTTGGAAGAAGGCTCAACACTATAATAAATATTACGTTTAAATAAAGAATACCTATTTACGCGTGCTGGTTTCGGACTGAGGCCGTATTATCATTTGTTTTTTTTTTTAACTGGGTACAGATAAGAATTAATAAATGCCATGCTGTGGTCATAAGAAAATTTACTGCACCGCATACTTGCAGAAGTCATGAGCTCCTGTGCATTCCACACTAGGCCTGTGAGTAGAATCCCAAATTCCCGGACCGCAGCGTTGGCACATCCCAGCCAAGGTACAGGGAATGCGTACCAATTGACGGAATTGATATAGTAGACCTCTTGCCTTGCGCAGTATAAGGCGGCCGTCCATGTACATAGCTGAAATGATATAGAATATGAATATCAAAAAATCACAAATTAAATATCAAAAGAGGTCTGGCGATAATACATAATCATTATTCAAGCTTTATCAATCTATACTCAATACTTTGAGAGTTTTTTGAGCATTTTGAAATGACATAGCAGTTTCTACTACTTTTTTCTTTTTTTTTAAAGGTCTACTAGCAACTAGCAACGCAAATTACTAGTATTCCCGTTAACCCCGCTAAGCTAAATTGCTTGTGTTAGGAGTGGGTTCACGCCGGTCGTGTACTGGTCAGGATTCGAACCCACGACCTCTTGATCGCAAGTCCAATGCCTTAACCACTAGGCTACCGCCGCTTGACTCGTCACAAAGTCCTTGACCTTTTTGATCCTCTAAGCTCGTAAGCTGTACCACAGACCTAGCACTCCTAGCGACGACTCATTCTACTCTCCGACACTCGTAATACATCCCCTTTACATATTTAAACATCATCTACTTGCTAAAAGATAATGCGAAATCTAATTCATTTAAATTTGACTAGTCTGTCAGAATAAATCCATACCTCACATTAGTTTCCAACTCTTTTAGGAATCAGTTTTAACATTTTTTTGAAGCTATAAGAATATTTACTTACGTACCTAAAGAACTAAAATGCAGCAGCATCTCATCGGTGTTAAGGTCCTGGGCAATGACGTCATCTGCGTAAACTGCAATGATTGCCAAGCATAAGAAGAGATGAAAATAGTCTGTCTGGTAATTAGCCCAGCAAGCCTCCCACATACGTAGCGCTACCGCTTCCGTGAACTCGCGTTTGAAACATCTGCAATATGCATATAAAATAATGTTATTTGTTTGCATTTCCTTGTGACTTAGATAAATATATGTGTCTAGTGTGCTCAATAAAGAATAAATGAAATGAATGTTGACACACAAAAACTTGAAAAAGTATAATTTATAAATAATACTTTAGTAAAAAAGGGGTGATAAGTTTAAGTAGAAAAAGTAATAAAGCAGACTTCTGCTCATGATTTACAGGCAGTAACTAAAATATAGAATTAAACGATTCAAATTACGTTCTACTAGCTGAAGAACATACGAGTACACATCGTATCTTTAAATATGCGTTCAAAATGACTCAGTCAACAACATAATTAAGTTTAATAATAGCGAGGTTAGCTGTTAAGTTTAGTCAAAAAACTTTATTTTTTGTAAGGAATATTTTTATTCTGTGACAAATTATCTACTTAGCTCGAAAACTCCGCTTTTGTTCCATATAAGCGTAAACGTATTCGTAAATGTATTTAGACTTAACATGGACATGTTCAGTCTAAATACATTTACGAATATCTCAGTTTTTGGGCGAGAAATAGTAGTCTTTATCCAAAAATTTTTTGCATATATTTATGTACTTTCCGTTAAATCCAACATTATAATTTAGTGCACAGACACGGTAATGATAAGAAAAACAATAGGTCGTCTTATACAAAATATATTCTACAGCTACTATCATTGAAGGACACTTGAACCATGCTAAGATATTCTATTTGTTCGAAAACTCGCGTGCGTACTTTTTGTACGAAGGAAAAGTCGTATCGAGCGCTGGTCCATGAAAACCTTTAAATTCTAACACAGAATAGATACTAGTTGCAATCCTTTGTAGGCATGAGATCAAAGTTAGAAACTTTTCAATGTTGATTAATCAAAGGTACTTTAGCAGTGTCATTGTGTGACGGTTATAATATTATAATCTTAGATAACCGAATAGAAAATAATAATAGAATAATCTTAGAACGCTATGCAAATAAATTTAAACTAGAAGTTCAGTAGTAACTTTGTAGTTCAGTATAAGATGTAGTGTCATGTAAGAATAAAAGGCGTCGTACAAAGGCGTTCAACGTCGGAAATACTATTTAAGTTTTCAAAAATATTTTTTAGATAAAGTATACCTTTACATTTAGGGTTGAGTTATAAATTTATAATATAAGGTCTAAAGCGAAACAAATTCCTCTCCTGCTGCGGATAATTTTATTTTCTACACAAAATATCAGAGTCAATGGAAAGGTCAAATTGTATATGTACCTGTCTAAAAACGGACTCGAACGTAGGATGTGATATTTAGATAAAATTAAAAGAAACCTTTTACATCAAAGATAAAAAATGTGACTATTTGAGTCCATTGTTAAAGTATTTAAATACCCCAAGAAAACGTGTTTTAAGTTTAACAGACTTGATGCAAAACTATAAGAAGCGTATGCAAAACTACCCAAACCAACTTGCAAGGAATCTAATGATGGAGAAACTAGCACCACAAGATCTAATAGACACATAGATACTTCATTATAGTTGGGTACATCATTAGATTTGCTCCAAATACATCCTTACACAAATGCTTAAAATCCAGCTATACCAACAGATTGCACCTCATGCGGCGGCAACTCCGTTGGTGTAGACATCTTTCTAGAATGGAATAACAACGTACGGCAAAGTGCATCTTTTTTCGGAACTTGAGGAGGACAAGCGTAAGCATGGCAGACAACTCCTCAGGTATAAAGATGATCTTAAGCGTAACATGAAGAAGTGCGATATTGAGCCTTCAGGGTGGGAGCAATCAGCTGATCAACGATCGGAATGTAAGTCTTTGGTGAAAACCAGAGTCGAAGACTTTTAGGACAATCGCTGCTCTGAACTGGATGCTGCGCAATGAACTAAAAGCAAACCTACCTAGTGCTGTCGCTGACAACTACAGCAATGGTGTGCTCATCTGCCCGCATTGTATCAGCTATGTTAGCCACACACAAGCATACCAACGACAAATTGAACCGAGTTCAAGAGGTGGCCGTTGCCAAAATCGGTCGAGCATAGTAGTAATAGACAGATTGCAGGAATTGACGGTGTTAAAAAAATATTAACGTGAGCTTGTAAGTTCTGCGTAGGTACTTGTGTTTTAAAGTTTAACGTGATTTTCTATCTGTATCGCTGTGTCTCTGTATCTATTTGTTGCACCTATCGTATCTTCTAAACGGATACACTGAATGAATTTTTGTTTAAATAACTTGATTGAAAGTTTTCCTAACTATAATATCAGGAAATTTTAATTTTAAATTTTATCACTCACAATAGAATCCAACGATGGCAGAATAACAATTCCATTGCATCGACATGCTTTTCTAAATGCTTATAGAAGTGTGGCAACATTATTCTTATTAACTCCCGCAAGTAACTCTGAAATTAAAAATAAAATTATGTACGTAAATACATGCTTTACGTCATCAAATGTCGTGATGTGTGTGTGTGTTGATGATGTTGGTAATCTTTAGTTTTAAACCGACAAAAGTTATGAATTGATTATTTTGTTCAAACCTCCTGAATGCGTTATATTTATCTTACTTACCTACATGGGTTAATTTTTAAGTTAGGTACAACTGCTTTTGCAAAGTTATAGAAAGTACCTTGCCGAATAAATCAAAATATTAACCTACTTGTTAGTACCTACCTCCCCCCTTTTTTTGTGAGGAAATACCCTCGGATAAAAGCCGTCCTTTGGGATGGTCGGAACGAGGTGTGACCAAGAAAGGAAATATCTGGTACTTCGACGGATCCTACTATCCCTACCTATCTCCAAAAATTAGTTCCAATTCATATTACTTATTTATTTTCACGGCACGTCTATAATTCTAACGTTTCATCATAATCGATATTTTACTTCACCCAAACAGGTATAATGTTGTTAATCGACTGTTATTATTCGTGTGCGTGACTTGCGAGTGCTCTTTAACTTATTCAAAAGGATAGAGCTCTGTAAAGTGAAACTTGGCAGAATATGTCTGGAACCTACACTCTGTCACGTCAAATTGCATTAGGTATTAGAGAAATTGAGCGAGTCGTGTATATGGGATTGAAACACAAAACCGTGTACCTACTCTGAATTTAACTTCATGAAATTTTTACCAAATCTAGTTTGAATTTATGAAGATATTCTGCGTTTGATAAACAATAAAGTTTATTAAACTTACAATCTAAAATCTAATTTTAAATTAAATATAGTAATATTGATCTAATTTAAATGATGTTCTTAATCTTAAGCAATAACCAGATTTTATTCGAAGTTTTAGCTTAAAAGGCAAAGGTAAAATAATATATATATAATACATTTTTATATTATCTTACCTCTGCCTTTTTAGGCTAAAACTTCGAATACCCTTTCAGTCTGTTCAACATTAAGGTAAAAATAAATGACTTCGTTTACATTTCTAAATATAATTTCATTACAAAAACAACTTACTAGGTTATTATCCATGTCGTTGTCGGTAGGTGTACACACAAAAATAGCTCTCTGCATTAAACCGACAAAGCACCAGAATGCTTCTGCGTCACATTTTATTTCGCAAAGAACTGGCGCTAGCAAGTCACTCATTCCTTGGGTATAACTGCAAAAAAATGGTCAAATCAAATAAATGCTGTCCCCAAAATTATACTTCTTCCGAGACTTTTCCCTAAACTAGGTTGGGATCGACTTTAAGTCTACTGCGATACGGCTGAAATTCGATTTTTTCATGAATCGACTTTCATCAGACCTCCACAACTCAAGTATTAGGCGATATTGAAGTTCAGTAGAAAGACTGTTGCCGGACTTATCAGGGCTCCAAATATTCTTAAGAATTGCCAAACATGTTCATATGGCAACCGAAGCCGACGGCTTAACGTGCTCTCCGAGACAGGGACGGGTCTCCATGTATTAAGAATGATCGTCCATTCATAGACTGACCTGGCTAGGATTGCTTAACTTTGCAATGTGTTAATCTAGTGGGTTACCGCTTAGGCACGAGCAACTCTGTCCAAAAAATTAAAATAAACTAAAAATAATCTGCACGGATGGCGTAGTGGTTTAAGCGGTCGCCACGCCACTTCCTACTACGCCGATTGTAGTGGGTTCAAACCCCACATGGGACGACACTTTGTGTACAAAGTGTAAAGTCCCCTGCGACACAGGATATTTTCCTAATGCGGGAGTTGTCATTAAAAAAAATATGTATCTCTTACCCTAAAATAGGATTATAAACAGCATAATTCAATAATATATTCTTCATAATTTCTACATTATAATTATTTTCTCCAGCAAAGAACGGATTGCCCCTGTCAGTCCTGACCACATCTTTCTCAATAACACACTGGATTGTCTTCCGGAATACAGCATGTTGCTCCGGAGTCATCTTCTCGAGCCTTCTTCTCATGATTTCTTCATACTCTCTAGACCGAATGTGCAATATTATTTCTCTTTCATCATAAGTAGAATTATAGGGATAGCAGTGCAGCAGGAAAGGCCAAACTTCTCTCCTTAATTCCTTATCCAAACCTCCAAAGAAAACACATTTTCTTAGGAATAAATCATCTTCGATTACTCCTTTTCCGTTCATTAATTTGCCGTAGAATAACTCGGGGGTGATCTTAGGAAGTTTTCCTTCTTCTGGGTGCTGTTCAGATTTTTGTACCTCTGGACGGCATACCATGAAATGCCGGTATGGTAGATTTGGCTCTTCGGAACCTGTAAGCAAATTACCTACTTACATCAAAAGGTCTTTGGCCGACAGTAAATATTTATTATCTTTTATAACTACCTGGTGTGAGTTTAATGTTATGCAGCAAGGAGTGCCATCGATGTAGGACCTGCGCCAAATTATCGAGTCCTCCGTGGTGAAAGTGAAGAATTTTGTACTGAGACTCCCTGGATGCGACCACAAGTTGACCGCAGGTGCAATTATCGTCGTTGAAGAAGAGCCGTAAAGACCGCATTTGGCTGAGGTCTACTGAGAACCTGTTAGAAAAAAAAATACATCTAAGATTTAAACAGCCATAAAACTTTAAAATATATGTTTGCTTCATGAATTATCTTGCATAGGAAAATTTCCTAGCAACATTAAAAAGCACATAGGGAAAACACATAAAGAATACCTACAGACACCGAACAACGATCTGAAAATCAAACAGATAAAAATAATAAATATTTACCTACGTCGGAATCGAAGCCACATCGCTTAATATAATATCAGCTACTGATGCGAGTACTTTACTCGCATCAGTAAACTGAATCATTGAATTGTAAAGGAAGATAAACTCGAGGTATTGTTGAATTATTCAAATGCATAATTTATCGGTAACAAAACGGTAGCAGTCTAGATAAACGGTATTTGATACGGACTTAACCAATTTATTTCATCCGATAGGAAACTACCCTGTTTAGGCCGTTTCAAAGAGAGTGGTTTTATTTTGCTATTAAAGCTTATATTATGTAGGTTCGTAACTATTAATTGCATGTCAGTAAGTCATTTGTAAAAGATTTTTTTATAATCGGTTTAGTGGTTTAGGCCTGAAAGTGTAACAAACAAACAAACCATCTGACTTTTACATTTATAATATAAGGTTAATAATAATAATATTTCGGACATCTAACACACAACGCTATTAAGTTCAAAACTAAGCAGAGCTTGTTTTTGTAAATATATACATAGAAAACACCCACTTTGTTTAGGAGACAAATATTTGGTCCGATCCGGGTATCGAACCCGAGACCTCAGCACGACAATCGCATACGCTACCACTGCACCACTGAGGCAGTAAAGTATGAATGCAAGTGGAATCGATACTCTATATACTCTTACTCTTACTTATACAAATAAATTATATTGAAGTCTCTGTTTGTAATGTCAAAATAACAGGATTTTTTAATGCTCACACGGCTATTGACACGATATCTATGCCTAAAAACCAGTTTAAATATTTTTGTCTGTCTGTCTGTTTGTTTGTCCAGGTAATCTTCAAAACGGCTGGATCGATTTTGATAATATTTTACTACCAGGTAGCTGTCAATATAAGGAGTAACTTAGGATATTTTTAACTCGGAAAAACCGTATAGAATTTTGTCCGGTCCGGGATTCGAACCCGAGGCCTCATGGACTAAGCAGCACTTTTCAAATTCACGACGTCGTGGGTACCACCTAGTATTACAATAAAATAACGATTTAATTATGAAATTTTATTGCATTTTAAAGCAGCTTCATGTGTATGTAAAAAATTAAGTAAAGTAAAGACCCTCTTATAAAACAGAAATATTGTTAATCCATTTGTAATACATTTAAAAATTAATCCCTAATCTTAAACTAGCTGACTCCCATAACTTCGTCTGCCTAAAAGTGCTGCGTTCCCCTCATTCAGCACTATCTCAGTCCTTCTGATTAATGTTTTTGTATGTTTTGTGTATGTTAAAATAAAAGAAAGTTACCCCAATTACTTCTAAAGTAAAATATATATATTTATTTATAAAGAAAACGCATGAAAGCTCAACTTCAATTTTCTTGTGACTATAAAGCGCACAAGTTTTGAGAAATAGGTTAATATAATCGGAAAAAATATTACGCTCTACGCCTGTGGTTACAAGCTTCTAATATCGAGTCGTAAAGTGGCGCACCTACGGACAAACAGTAAGTTAAGCAAACATTATTGTACAAACACATGTGTTTATATGGAACAATAAATATTCTACAATAATCTCAAACGTAGGACGATAATAACTCTTGAGAAAAAGAAAATAATTGTTAATAGCTTTGCTTGAGACCTGACACCCCAAAATGGTGGTTTGTAAATTATTACGTATTTGTTTGAAGTAAATTTGTCCATAAAAAATTGAAACACTATTTAATATAAGACTCATGACACATGGTTTGCAAAAAATTCTTGGCAATCCTGTTAAAAATAAAAACCCGGCCAAGTAGGTACGTTTCGGGTCACGCGCAATATAGGGTTAAGTACGTAGTTTGTTACGTATTCGTTTTAAACAAGTAACAACTTAATTTAAGATGTTTTTCTAAGGGTTTTTGTATTTTTTTTTATGAAATTCTCTTCATTTCCATAGCATTGCGGTTGGATTAAACCTAAAGTTGGATTAATATTACTCTTAAACTTACAGAGATAATGTACCTAGAAACAGAATTATCACCACCACACCAAAATTTTGTTTTTCAAAAATGTAGTATACAATAAAATTCTATTTTACATAATGAGTGGATGGATGGAATGAATTTAGAAGGTAGCTAAATGAAGGTACTATAATTATAACACTACTATAATATTTTTTTCACATTTATCAAGCCGACAGTTTTAGCTTCCAATGTGAGGGACAAATAAATTACCGCCTTAAAGTTCCTTGAAACGGATCACTGAATCGAAAAATGCGCATATTTACCCTAAACGTTTTTGAAAGACCTATCCAACGATATCCCACATCAGCCCACACTTGGGTATAGTCGAGGCAAAAATAACTCACCTCACTTTCATTGTTGTGGATTATACACGGTGATTTTGAAAGCGTTTTGGAAACGAAATATTTGAATTTGGAATCATCTATAGTACCAATAAAAATGATTAAATCAATTGTAATGTTGTCTAAAAAAAAGTTTCAGTTTTAATATTCATTTTTACGCGATCGACTTGGAAAGTAGTAATGGACTGATCGTTCATTCATTATCTTATATGAATGAAACACGTACGTGGGCGTTTCGGCGGCCGCTGCGCACCGCCGACGCTAACAGCAGCTGACAAAACTATACCTATAGGCGCGAGCTAGCGAGTACTTACGTAGATAGACTCCAATTTGTCCTTCATACTTTACACGGGCTTAGGACCGTCAGAAATACCTATTTTATTTAAACTTCTTTTCGATTATTAACCACGATTGTTCTTTTCACAACAAATCAATTTATCAACGGACTGTAGGTATAAATATTTCAGGCGTATTTAAAAAATCGGAGCTATCTACAGAATAATTAACTTACATACCTATTTACACTATTTACAGTTCTCTGTATCGAAGGAACTGCTCATAATGGAGTCCGCTGCATTCAATACACAAACGTCCACGTTTAATGCAATTGTTTTTTAATTTTCTTAATGTGTCTCTATCACTTTTCACTTTAAAGCGTCCACTATCGCAATGCGTAAATTATCACGGCTTTCATATTCCCGTGTATTAACAAGTCTTTTTATTTCCGACCATAAGAAAAAATCCAGGGGCGTTAAGTCCGATCACTAAGCTCATTGTCCAGGTATGCACGCACTACACTCCGGCGAATAATAATTAAAACGTCCTTGACCTTGCGCATGAGTAGGCGCACGAAATTGTCCGTGGTCGAGAAGACGTTGGGTTGCAGCCAAGGTGGTAGGTGTGGAGGGAATTTGAGGGCTTTCAATTCCACGTAGCCGTAGTGCATTTAAATGCTCCGGCTTGGGAATACAAACGCCGAGCCTCTTCCAAGTTGTAGTTGGCAGTAGCGTACAGCTGTACCATTGCCAAGAAGTATTCCACGTTTGAAAATTCGTACTGTCGACTCATTTTAGCGCTAATCAATACAGCGTGCCGTCACGATGTTATGGTTTTACTGACCGACTGACGATGACAGATGAGCCCCGCGCATGCGCCTACGGGGCAGACGTCATTGGTTGGACGACTCCGGCGCAACTCGGTAGCTTTGTTTTTATTGGCGAATACGATTTGATGTGACTCGATATTAAAACGCATAGTATTTCTATTCGTAGTATTTACCTACGTGTGATTGAATAGCCTACTACTACTGGTTCTGACTTTTTCTCTGTAAACGATATGAATATCGACTTTGATGATAAAAAAAAAATTATTTTATTAAATTAACGTTATATATAGCTTCTGTTACTGATAAATAACTCAAAATTTTCTTTTCCAAAACGCTTTCAAAATCACCGTGTATATACGAGTACATAGGTATATAATTACATATCTGATTTCGTTGGTTAGAATATTGAATTCGGTGAACGTTAAATTTTAAAACTAAATAACTTTGTGTGTTAGGTACGAAATTTCCTTTACTACTCGTACTAATATTTATGTAGAGATATATAGAATTAAATTTTTTATATCCCTCAATTTATGAAAAAAGAAATGAGCCACCGAAGTCAACTGAGAATGATCATAATATTCTTGACTAAATACCATTCAATTATACAAAAGTGTTTAATTAAGGAGGGTTGAGTATTTAGTTACTTATGATATTTTATTTCAGAACGTTTAGTAGGTAATAAACCGTAGAATGGAACGCGTTTATTAAAATGCGACTCAAAATTAATTGGCCATTATTTTGATTTACGCTTGACTGCAATTTAAAAAACTACCAGTTGGTAATAAATGAAAATAAAATACTCGGTACTAAAAAGTAACTAAAAGAAGTGTATGATACTGATATTACTTTTACCTAATAAAACAAAATAATCACAGTGTTTATCAAGATTATCTTTGATTCTCCACTTGTGACTCATAGCGTGATGAAACATATATGTAAATATGCTTAATTGTATTGTAGTATTAGTATACGTATAAGAATACCTATTGGCAATGATCTTAATCGGCACACTGACCACTGTTATCGAAATTTGTGATAACTAATACCTACTACTACTTACTACGTCATTAGCAATTAAAATCACAAGAAAGTGAAAAAAATACAGAAATTGGTACTTATTGAATATTATATTCAGTTTTCTTTGCTGGAGATGTTGTAGACAGAAAATGAATGTGTTGAACTGTGTTTATGTTAGCACGAAATAAAGAGACGTTTAAAATACTTAATCGTGCTACTTAAAATATAACAAATGAGAATTGGGATTGATGGAAGTTTGTTACTAAATCGCGACAGTCTGATTGAACGATCCGGTGTGTGTGGTGCCCTCGGATCATATCAACAACCTTGTTTATATGATCTGAGGTGGTGCCTGTTGCGGGGTCGCTTTGGA